GACGTTTTCTTCATGGGAAGTGTTCTCACGAGAACAAAATTTACTGGTAAAATTTATTACACACTTGAATGTATGACTTATGAGGACTCTTAATAAAGTATTTTATACTCTAAAAGAACACTTATTATATGGTCTTACCCTAACTCTACCTCTAAAGCTAACCCTCAGGAAACCTTTGACATGTCAAAAGACCAGGCGAAATACGATTTCTAAACATTTTGTATTATGAAGACACAAGGCATGTCTTTGTAAACCACATTATTAAAGTTCATCTAGGTCATGTCATTATACAATGTCCTCATAAAACACTTAAACAAGTAAACACACATACATGCATTTAAAGACTATACAGCAGGAGGCACTGATTCACACTGATGTACAGTCATAATTTTAGTTTTAGGTAGGCATAAACTGTAAGTGGTTAAAAATTACAGTCATCTGAATCCTTAGACATTAGAACAGATATATAACAATATAATAAACATGCTCTAATGTGCCCATAATTGCTGTTTCAACATATGATTAGGTGTACTGAATTCATAGATTTTAGCATCTACATTTACTGTCACAGTCTGGTGGGTGATTCTGTACAGTACAACAGTACAGCTGTCTGTAGGAACATTCTGACTGTTTAAAATATTATATGTTTTGCTTCCTGAATCTGAGCGCAGATCCACAATTGTCAGTCATTCTCTGATAAAATGTGCTAAAATGATACCTTTCAAGAGCACAACAGCATATCACTACACACTTTTAACCTACATCAGGCTTTTATTGGCCCATGTGATAAGAGGAAACGGACGAAAAAGCAGCTCAGTTCCACTGGCTCAAACTGCACAAATATAGCCAACATAGGCTCATTCATAGCCCTATATACATTTCTGGAGATTGTGAATTATGTAGCCAGAAGTATGTATGGCTGCATTAAAAAAAAAAAAAAAAAAACGAACGCTACGAGGCGGTATGACGCCCTTCCTTTTCTCACTTATACCAGCTGACTGCTTATCTCTGTATGGTAAGATACCTCTGTATGTGAGAAACCGGAGCACCTGGAGGAAACCCATGTGAACGCAGGAAAAACATGCAAACTCCACACAGAAATGCAAACTGACCCAGTCGCGACTCGAACCAGCAACCTTCTTGCTGTGAGGCGACAGTGCTAACCACTGAGTCATGGTGTCACCCTAAGAGCTAATTGTCTTTGATAATTATGATTTTAAAAACATTAGTTCTAGTTTTCCTCAATATCCACAACACATATTTAGGAAATTATCTCAGTATATTCATGAACAAATAACCTATTTATTCTATAAGTGTCCTATTAATTCTGTGAATTATCAAAAGTTACTATTTTTCAGCAAACAGTCCATTATGATTGCAAAAATGCATGATATAAAAACATTAAGTTTGCTTTTCTTTGTTTACCATAAAGTGACAAATCAACCATAGTTGAAAATGTTTCTGGAAAATTATTTTAAAAGGTGGTTCATTCTGCTGTGGTGACCTCGGATTAATCAAGGCACTAAGCCGAGAAGAAAATGAATGAATGCACCAAGCATGGGACGATAAACGGTTTGGAAAAGTCAAGGTATTAAATCCGCAAACATTTTCTGTCATACCATTTCCAAGATATATCGTCACCTTAGAATTATAAAATTCTATCTGACATTTTTGTCAAAATTGAGTTATTGACATATTCTTATAAAATGACAACTTATTTAAATTATGGGATTTTTAAAAATAATTTTTTTACATTTTAAGGGTTTTTATTTAAAAAACAAATGTTACACACATACTGTTTGCTAGGGAATGCAAAAACTTTAAACCTCATTATCTTAAAATTATTCAGAACACAGATAGAACCTTATAATTCCAAGATGACGATATGTACGTTTACTATTTATTTCTACAGTTACTTTATTTAGGTTTTTAGGGCAACAGAATCTCCAGCAGAAAAGGTTCATCAAAAGTTACTGGTCAGGCCACGATTCAAGTATATATATATTTTTTAAAACCAATCACACGGAATAAACCGCCAACTTATCCAGCATATGTTTTACGCAGCGGAAGGCCTTCCAGCTGCAACCCATCACTGGGAAACATCCACACACACAACCTATGGGTGTCTTTGGACTGTGGGGGAAATTGGAGCACCCAGAAGAAACCAATGCAAACATGGGGAGAACGTTCAAATTCCACACAGAAGCGCCAACTGTCCAAGCCAAGGCTCGAACCAGCGATTTTCTTGCTGTGAGGCGAACGTGCTACCCCACTGCACCACAGTGCAGCAAATATTTTGAAAAAGTGTTAAAACAGGCATGTCAAACTCAAGTCCTGGAGGGCTGAAGCCCTGCACAGTTTAGTTCCAACCCTGCTCCAACACACTTACCTGTAGGTTTCAAACAAGCCTGAAGGACTCAATTAGTTTGATCAGGTGTGTTTAATTAGGGTTGGAACTGTGCAGGGCTGCTGCCCTCCAGGAATTGAGTTTGACATCCCTGCTGTGAAACAATTATAATGATGGAAAACTGCAGAGTTGCTCAATAAAAACTGCAAGTCCCTATTAAAAGAGTGAAAAAAGTGACCAGTGAACATGTTTGTTGTGTGTGATTTATCTTTTAGCTTCAAGGCTCTCCAAACTCAGGGCCCTAGCATTTTTGAGAAATAAACTCCAGGTTAAAAATCGTATACAGTTGAAGTCTGAATTATTAGCCTCCCTGTTTAATTTTTTCCCTCAATTTATGTTTAACGGAAAGAACATTTTTTAAACACGTTTCTAAACATAACAGTTTTAATAACTCATTTCTAATAACTGATTTATTTGATTTTTGTCAGGATGACAGCTCATAATATTTTACCAGATATTTTTCAAAACACTTCTATACAGCTTAAAGTGTCATTTAAAGTACATTTCAATTTTTCCCCTTTAATTATCAAATAACAATGAAATATGTACAAACGTAGTACAAATATATACAGTACATTTCTTTTTGAAAAGATAAAATAAAAATGAGAGAAAGTATATTAAAACCACAGGTGCAAGAAGTGAAAATGTAAATAAACATATAAAACATTCAATTTAATTATTGTTTTTTGAACCTTTTCTTTTTCTTATGTTACACAGTGCAGTAATATATTGTTTAATCTTATTAAACATCAATGGAAACTTCTAATTTTGTAAAAGGTTATTTATTGTGGACAAATGTGCTTTAGATATTTAAAATACTCTTTACACTAACAAAAATACTTTTTTTTTTTATATATAGAACTGTTTACTGAACCCAACAAGGGCCTCCTAAGGCATCTAAAAAATATTCAGGAACTTCTTTTAGAGGAGCAGTTCTCAAATCCAATCCTCAAGTCTAAACTTTTCTTTAAACTGAGATTGTCAACGTTTGAACAATTTTGAGTCTTTGAAGTTGGTCTGCAATCTTGACTATACCAGGAGGCAAATATATATGAACAACAGATCTGACAACGTTCACTTGTGTGATGTTCACTCACCATTTTAACCGGGAAAAAGAAAAGCTCCAATGCACACTGGAGGCCAAGCGCACACATTTATACTTTTATTTTCAGAGATTTTATTTTGCTCCAATGTACTTTTAGTCGTTTGAGGCTACAGTTTATTAATGTCCAGTCTGAAACTCAGCTGTTGAAATAAAAGATTAGCCCAGTACACTATTTGTTGTATTAGTATATAATATTGTAAAAAAAAAAAAGACATTTGGTCTAACAATCAAACCTTCTCTGTGGTTCCATTTGGCTAAACAGACTCCACATTTTTGTTTTTCACCCAATAATAAATATTCTGTCATCTTTTACTCAGCCCTTACTAAGAGTTTCTTCTGTTATACACAAAAGAATATTTTAAAAAATGCTGGAAACCTGTAACTATTGACTTCTGTTGTATTTTTTTTCCTACTATGGACATCAATGGTTACAGATTTTCAGATTTCTTTAAAGAATCTCCTTTAGTGTTCAACAAAACAAAGAAACTCATAGATTTGGAACCACTTGAGTAAATAGTTTAGGGAGAACTATCTCTTTAACTGAGTAAGGAGTCGTTTAGAAAACTTACAGAAATGATGATCAGAGCTTCAATTTGATTCACAGGATTTTATTTGAATTATTGACAGCATATAAAAGCAATTCATTACAAAACAATTCAAAGAACAATACATTACAAAACAATTATGAATACTTGATTATAAAACAATCAGACTCTCTTATGAGAGAACACCAGATTCAATTATAAAGCAGAAAAAGTTGAGCAGATCTTTGATGAAACTTTAGAGGAGAAATCCAGTTCAGTTCAATTCATCTTCATTTCTATAGCGCTTTTATAATGTGCATTGTGTCAAAGCAGCTTAACATAGAAGTAAATTGAAACTGGGTCAGTCCAGTTTTCAGAGTAGAAGTTCAGTTCAGTTCAGTGTGGTTTAATTGTCAATGCTGAAAGTCCAAACACTGAAGAGCAAATCCATCGATGCGCAGCTCCACAAGTCCCAACCAAGCAAGCCAGAGGCGACAGCGGCGAGGAACAAAACTTCACCAATTGACAAAAGTGAAGGAAAAAACCTCGAGAGAAACCAGGCTCAGTTGGGCACGACCATTTCTCCTATGGCCAAACGTCTTGTGCAGAGCTGCGGTGTTTAATTACCATTATTGTCATTAATTGCTCACCTCATGTCCTTAGTTCATATTCATGTTTAGTTCATATTGAGAACAGAAATGAAAACATTTTAGATGAAATCTGAGTTCAATGTGTGCCTGTCACACTGCTGATGTATAACCCAGAGGCCTGCGCGACTTCCTCTGATTTAAACAAAGCGTGGGCACATCTGAGGTAAACGTCAGCAGTGGATACACATACAGTGCAGGACAGAGCTCTCATGATTTGATGATTAGATCTCAAATATTTTCATTTGTTTTCTGAAGATGACGAAAGGTGTCAGGGGTTTGGAGCTACAGCTGTAATTTCGAAGTGAAAATTCATTTATAAAACAAAAATAATGACTTGAGAAGTGCTGTACTGCACTGTATATGTGTTGCATTTGCTCACGCTGCTGACGTATAACCCAGAGACCTGCGCGACTTCCTCTCATTTAAACAAAGCGTGGGCACATCTGAGGTAAACGTCAGCAGTGCGACACACATACAGTGCAGGACAGAGCTCTCATCAATACACTCCACGACTGACAGTGAAGAAAAGGAAGGTCTTAGGGGTTTGGAATGACATGAGGGAATAATTAATAAGTTTAACAGTTTTGTGGAATGTCTGGAAATGCTGCTCTTCTCCTCCTCGCTTCTCTAGTGTTTTCTAAAAATGTAGAAAAACAATCAGAAACAACACAAAGTGATTTAAGCAGTAACATGGAGGGCTGTCAAATAAGACTTGAGACTCTAAAAAGAGCAGAAGAGAAAACACCAGGAATAGCATGAAGCAAAGAAAGAATGAAGATGTAGCTTTGTGCTCGGTGTGTTCCTCTACCTCCTCTTGTCTAGCTGCTGCGCAGGATTTGGGCTCGTTGGATTGAACCACTGGTGCTCTTCAACCTGATGTAACTGTAGCCGCTTCTCTGGATGGCGGACCAAACACTGGGAAATCAGCTCCAGGCATGCTGAAAAGTGTCACAGAGAGTGTGAAATATGTCTCAAGATTCATGAACGTGTTTAAATCTTACAACATCAAATGTTACAAAACATCCACAATTAAATAACTGTAATATCTACAGTGCCTGTAAGCATTATATTTCATCCTGTTTTGCTCGTGACTGACATATTTCATTCCGTCACCGAGGCTGAGATCGTTTTGAGGTGTCTGCTTACCTGAAGATAAGGTGAGGTCTGTCTTAAGTTTTCCAATGATTATCGAACGTGTGTTGGTAAAGGCCAATCGTCTGTGCAATATTTCATACAAGATGAGGCCTATTGTCCAGACGTATGCCGGGTTAGGAAAGAATGTGGGATCCCTCAAGATCTCAGGTGGTGTGTAAACTATGGCTCCTGTAAGAGAGACATTTTCAGAATTCAGTCATTTCATAAGACAATACTGTGACCAAAGAAACCAACACAAAATGCCAACTCGCCTCCATAATCACGGCTTTTGAAAGGTTCGCTGGTAATTGGTCGAGCACAACCAAAGTCAATCAGTTTGAGCTCTAATCGGGGTTGAATCACCAGGATGTTCCCCGCGTGGATATCACCATGGAAAACTCCACGCTCAGCGCAGAACTTGACGGCTTGGATCAACTGACGCATTAACCGGCGAGCTTGGTTTTCATCAATGCCCGATGTACGTCTGACGTAACGAGCCAAGATCTGGGATGACTCTGCGTACTCCAGAATGAGATAGAAGTCCTTCTTATTCTCAACCCAGTGGTGCAATCCGATGATGCTGGGACAAGTTGGGTCATTCATCAACCTGAGCATCATTGCCACTTCCGCAAGCACAGGTTCAGAATGACCATCCTAGAAAAAATAACAGATTTCAAAAATATTACCAAAGCAGAATGGGACAAAGTACAGTTACAAAAACTTGTCACTAAGTAAATAATAAATAAGCTCCATGCTTTGACACGTTTGCTTGTATTTGAGCATTTAGTCATGCAGTTTAAACTAAAAGAGGACTCCACATGCGTGTGTTCTGTCCGTCTCTGAGGCTAAGCACATGCACACAACAGCACAATCTCTCTTCAGCACTATTAAAGACATGAATGTATCATCTACACTCTGATAAATCAAGCACATCCCATGCTGCAAAAGTCACGTTACATGATTTCACTCATTTCCAGCTTAGTGCAGAAATGAATGCAGACTGCTTTACAAGGGGTCAGGATATGACGCAATGATCATTTTATCTCCATTAATGTTCAATGAATTTTCATAAACTCCACAGCCCTACATTCATGTGTTCAAAACTCATCTCTGGGTTTATTTCTTCTGCTGAACACAAAAGAAGATATTTTGAAGAAGGTTGAAAACCAGTAAGCATTGACTTTAAAAGGATTTTTTTTTTCTACAATGGAAGTCAGTGGCTACTTGTTTCCAACATATCTGCTTTTGAGTTCAGCTTAAAGTGGTCCAGACAGGTACGGGACAGGTGAAGAATAAGTAATTGCTCAGCACATTTTCATTTTTGTGTAAATTGTTCAACTTACAACATCGAGATAACGGTCCCGTTTACGCTTCTTGATTCGCTTCAGGGCAAACTGTGGAAAAACAACAACAAATGAAATTGAAGCCAACAAATGATTTATATTTAATAATCAGGAGGAAAATGTTGACTGAATTTAAAAAATAGTTCTTTACCTTTAGACTCTGATCAAATACGTGAGATACCAGATACACCTTGCCATAGCTTCCTTCTCCAATCAGGTCTTTTATTTCAAAAAGAGACATCGTAGATCCTGAAAAACAGAAAAAGAGCAAGGAGATTAACTTGGATTGTCTGATATGAAGCGGATCAAATAAATGACTCCAGTCCTTTGAATCTGGATCTAATGCAATGAGCTAAAAGCAGTTAACTTCCATGAGAAGTGCAGGAGTAAACTGATGACTAATTTATATAATTATGAATGACAGAAAATAGAAGGAAATGATGACTTACCATGAGTGAGCCCAGGCTCGGACTCTGGCTCGGGCTCAGGATGTGGTGTAAGATGCTGGACTATATCTGTGTCACAGCACAGGAAAGGGCGCCTTGCAGCCATCCATACTCTCTTAAAGAAAGCAGAGACTCTTTTGCCTTTCCTTCCCTTCTTGGGTTTTTCTAAAATGAAGAAAACAAACAGAAACATCTCCATGAACAGAGCTGCAGCGACAGTGCTCAGCATATTCATATAACCCGTACACCCCATTTTGAAAATTAATATTTTTATCCATTTCTCAGTGAATATGCGTAATAAATATTAATGCATTTGAACAAAACAGATTTATCAAACAGATATATTTATTAAAATTAAAGTTTAGTCACAGAACATCTTTGGAAATGGAAAGATAATAGAATTAAATTAATGCAAAAAACAAAACTACAACATTTCAACTACGTACATTGTCTATATTTTTTGTTTCTCTTTGATAATTCAATTTAATATTTTCCCCGAACATGAATTTGGGCTACTAATTTTAGAACTATTATTGAAAGTTATTTTGTTAGATAAGCTCCAGATTTGGCTTCAGTACTGACTAATGTTCATGCACAAATATAATATTGTGAAGCTTCCTACAGAAAATATGAATTTAAATGAGAGATTTGTGGCGGGTGTACTCATATATGTTTACCACTGTATTCATTGATACACAACCAATAGTACAACAATTGACACTGCCGGATTTATAAGCTAAAAACAAACAACAAAGCATCAAAAATAAAATGAACCAAATTCAGAATGACTCACCATCAGTCCCATCAATTTTACAGGGGTCTTGAACAGACGGAGGCGACTCAGGACAGGCCGAATCTGCATCCGTCATTTTCTTAATATTGGAAGGGCCATGGACACTGATTGGCTGAGGATCTTCCCAGATCTGGCCTGGCAGACACACCAGCTCAGTATCAACATGACCTGTAGGGGCCGTTGAGGACTCAGGACGGGCCGGATCTGCATTCTGTACATCTGCTGTTTGTTTAATCCTGGAAGGGCCCGGAACACTCAACGGCTGAGGGTCATCACAGATCTGGACTGGCGGATGCATCAGCTCAGGGTCAACATGATCTGCGATGGTCGTTGGCTTGATCCTGGATAATCCTGGAACAGCCAACGACTCGAGACGGTCGCAGACCTGGACTGGCGGACACATCTGCTCAAGTTCAACATGACCTGTGAAGGCTGTTGAGGACTCAGGACGGGCCGGATCTGCAATTGGCACATCTGCTGTTTGCTTGATCCTGGAAGGGTCCGGAACACTCAACGGCTGAGGGTCTTCACAGATCTGGACTGGCGGATGCATCAGCTCAGGTTCAACATGATCTGCGATGGTCGTTGGCTTGATCCTGGATAATCCTGGAACAGCCAACGACTCGAGACGGTCGCAGACCTGGACTGGCGGACACATCTGCTCAAGTTCAACATGACCTGTGAAGGCCGTTGAGGACTCAGGACGGGCCGGATCTGCATTTGGCACATCTGCTGTTTGCTTGATGCTGAAAGGGCCCGGAACACTCAACAGCTTAGGATCTTCACAGACCTGGCCTGGCGGACACACCGGCTCAAGATCTGCTGCATGTGCTGTGACGGTCCTGGAGGGACCTGGAACAGGCAGGTGTTTGAAATCGTCGATATCTGACCGTGGTTCAAAGGGAACCACTCTGTTCCGGTCACAGCAAAGGAAAGGGCGCTTTACCGCCTTCCATGCTCTCTTAAAGAAAGCAGAGACTTTATTCCCTTTCCTCCTTTTCTCTTGGTTTTCTAAAATAAAGCAAATGAACAGGGAAGTATTAGAAAACTCTTTTACCACAGGTTTAAAATAGACTTCTGTAAATTAGAAATATAAAAGACAAACACACAAAAGAAACAACAATAATAAATGTACAATTATAATAGAAAATTATTGAAAACTGAAATAAATTACGTGGAATTTCAAATAATTTCTATGACTTAAAATGACAAATACAAGCTGACAGATAGTCGGTAAGTCATAAGTCCAAATTCGACATCAGGAAAAATCCTATAAGCAACTATTTAGCGAAAATAAACATTTCACTCCTGCTCACACAAAATGCAAACTACTATAATAACTCACTTTTGAGTCAATATTCTGAGTTTTACCAGTTATAGTTTGAGCTATTTAACAATCACCATCACAATGTTTAATCAAATTTATGAAGCCTTATATTTTTTTGTCAGTGGGTGCTACATCTACATCTACATTCTTCCTCAAGCGCCACTTCTCCACCACTAAAAAACTAATGAAACTACATCAGCATTTTTCAGCTTTCCATTAGCAATCATCAAACTCAAAGTGAACTATTTCTCTTGCTCTGGATCTTCAGTCAAGAAATCTGTGAGTAAATTATAGCTTAAAACATTTAACAATCATTAGAACATTTAACAAGTCTTAGAAATCCAAATGAAAAGAGAAGTCTTGCTCCAGAAATTCAGGTACAGAAACAGAGCGCTAGACATTTATTTATTCATCACTGCTTGAACAAATTTAATGAAGACTTAAATATAATATTCTCACTCAGTTTGCTAAAATATAACAAATATTCCTCGACAACATCAAAAACTAAGACAATTACTCTGTAGATCTACACATAGGATTCAAATTGAAGTAGGCTAATACAGAAATGCTTCCCAAGACCATAACAGAAAAACACATTACAATGAAGAGACGTTACATATTTGACTCTTAAGTCTGTACACTAATAACCCTACATGGCGATATATTATTATTATTTTACTTTTTACTTAATAATTTACTGTAATATTAAATAATATGAGGGAATACAACGTTTTTGTAAACTTTCATCTCACCTGTTGGGCTTCTCATTACGGTTGGAGGTGTAAGAGAAGCCATCGTGTCACTCTGATGATTTTCGTTGACAAAGTCAGTCGTGATCGTATTAACTCGAGTAAAAATCACAGCTGACATATTATTTTCCATTTGAGATGCAAAACAAGTCGCTAAAGTCATTAAATCACTTCTCATTGACTTGTTCGTTTGTCACTCTGAGGAAATTCTGAACTGTATTCTGTCCCGTGACGTAACGGCATTCTATTCGTTCTATTTATTCGTCATCAAGTTCGTTGAGCGTGTTATGATATAAATTCTGGTATAGTCTAGATTGGATATGCGGCCGGTCGGAAGTGTGATATGCACATTAATAAAGCTGCATTTTTTTGACAATTATTAATATTTTATTTATTATATATTAATTTATTATTTAATTATTAATTTTATAACAATAATTCATATTT